GTAAAAATGGAATATCTCAGCGTGGAAAAGGTTTTGGCGTCTAAAATTTTTTTCATAACCACAGTTTTTCACGGCGAATCGAATGGTGTAAGCTTCAAACAAAAAAAAATTTCATCATGTTATGACCATCCTTGATGCTGTCAGAAAGTCTCTCTTAAGGAAAAAGACTTAATGCTTTTTTAAGCGTAGGGGCTCGTTTGGGGCTCCTCCGCACAGTGCGCATTTTCCGGTAAGCATTTTCCGGTGACTCCGAATATGACTTTATGTTATGGAAAAAGCGCTCTCATAGGGGAGAAAAACGCGAATTACTTCGAAAACCCTATAGGTTTTTGTAAAATCAATAACTCGACTTAGAAAAAAAGACGAGCTCATCATAAATACATGATAGGCTGAGGAACATTTTCATGTAATTAGAAGGTCTGTTCAGGCTTAGCGTTTTTTAGCGCTGTCACTGCACTGAGGTTGTCTCATGTCGGATCGTAGTAATCTAGACTACTAGACATCAAGGTGTGATGGTGCAAATTTTGGATGTTGTAGATTATGGTGATGAACGGCAATTTAGACATTTTAGACTTTCTTCTAGAAAACTAGCCGGAGGGGGCGGAAGCGGCAGTATGAGAGTGAGTCACCATACAAGAAGTTCAAGTTGAGCACTTTTGGATGTCGTAGATGTTATGGTAGTGATCGCCGATTTAGAAGTTTTAGACTTTTCGGATCTGCTAACTATCCTATAACATCCATTGCCGTTGCTCAACTTGAACTTCTTGTGTGGTGACTCACTCTCATACTGTCGCCCTCGTCCCCTCCGGCTAGTTTTCTAGAAGAAAGTCTAAATTGCCGTTCACCACCATAACATCTACAACATCCAAAATTTGTACCATCACACCTTCCTCCTACTAGACCTTTTTTCGTTTCGTACAAGATGCAAAAGGAGTACCTTCTATTATCAGGAGATGCAATAGGTTGTGCTGATTCCGAATATGTGCTTTGGATAGAGTAATATTGCACGTCTGTACATAGAAATAAGAATCTTTGCAGATGTGTCATATTTGACGGTGTTTTTTGCGAATGTTCGTAAGTTAACTTACTCATCGAAGGAGTTCATTACTAGTCGATCATTATATACCATTCGATAGCGCTTTCAAGGACTACGTTTACTACTGTTCGAATTCAAAAAAGCTCACTTGCCGATTTTTGCTCAAATTTCCGCCTGAATGCCCACTGTGCTCCCGGGAACGAATTTTTTTTTCGAACTCTAAAGGAGATGTGCTGAACTTCAAAACCACATTTTTATATTCACTTTATGCCGCTAAATCCGAAAGAAAAGGTTTCAAAGCTTCAAAATGAGACGGAGAAAACTAGAGCCATTTTTCTGAGAGCATCAGTTTTTTCCATTTAGAACAGCCTCTTCGTATTTCGCCATTTTCATCGAGAAGGAAAGGTCGTAAGGCAAACAAATGTGATATTCTGATTTGGCTTGTATTCCTCTATCAGAATATGTCTGTTAAAGTCAAAAATAAAATAGTGCTTTTAAGTTTAAAAGCTCTGAATTACGTGCGCCTTAGAACTGATTATCTTTTTTTTTCAGATTCTCAAATCACAGCTGGGCGCTCATTACGTAAGCGAGTCACATCAGAAATGTTTACTCTTGGTTATACGATCCCTACTGCAGTTAATTCAACCCCATCTAAATTCTGGTTCCCAGATAACGATTAATTCTGAATTATTTGAGCTGCCGTCATTACTGACCAATACTGATTCTACTGTGTTAACTACAGCAATCAACGATGGTTATGCTCAACTACAACAATGTTACGAGGCGTTAACAACATTAACCAGAGGTATACAAACGCTCAGTGACGATTCCGTTCGGCTAAGCGTAGAATCACTACGTCATCAAAATTTACTACAAGTATGCCAAAGTGAGGTAAATCAAGTGAAGCAGTCTATTGTCGAACAGAACTCTTATATTGCTGGCATAGCACCAAATGAAGCGATTTTACAACAGGAATTATCGAGTATCACACAGAAAGCTGAAGACTTACAATCAATCGCGTATGATGGTATATTAACGTGGAAAATATCTAATATTAATGAAAAAATGGCCGATGCCGAATCGGAGCGACAAACAAGTATCTATTCACCACCATTTTATTCATCACCAACCGGATACAGAATGCGTATTCGACTTTACCTTCGTGGGGATGGGAATGCACGACGAACACATATTTCATTATTTTTTCTTCTAATGCGCGGCCCCTACGATGCAATTCTTAAATGGCCGTTCAACTTCAAAGTTACGTTTTGTTTATATGATCAATCAGGACAACAGCAACATATCATTGACTCATTTCGTCCAGATGTAAAATCTACCAGTTTCCATCGTCCTCGTAGTGAAATGAACATTGCTAGTGGTATACCTAAGTTCTTTCCATTGCCATTGATTCTACAGAACGATAATGTCTACGTTAAAGATGATACCATGTTCATCAAATGTCTTGTTGATTTTGGTGATATTTCAAAAATGTTGTTGCCATATGCACTGAGCTTAAATCCAGCGTTACCGCATCATATCCAAAGACATATGATACAAGTTGAAGCCGAGGGACGATCACGACAACAAGCAACGACAGAAAACAATCAACTTTTGACAAACAATAACACTGGTACTGAATTCATGAATTCAAATCAAACTGGTAATTTATCCCAAGCTAACAGCATATTAACAACAGAACCATCATCATCATCAAAGAAGAAAATGAAAAATGATTCAAACATAGAAGAAAAGAAAGATGATACATGAAGAACATTGTTTTACGTATAATAATCGTACTTATTCTTACGGAGAAATCTTCCCATGCGTCCCCACTGAACTTTAATGAAATATACCCTACTTTGTCAATTTGTTGGTGCTGATTACGAATCTGAAATCCATTTGTGCTCTAATTCAATCTATGAGGAGTATATGCATTTTTATTTTAACACTATTGAAAAGCAGGTTTAGCTATATTTTGGTAAAATTATAACTTTTGATAGAAATACTTTCAGAACAGCTGAATGCTTTAGCCTTCGAATTCAGTTGCATTTTATCCGGAATGTTTTCTGATGATTAACATAATTAGTTTAAAAATTTTTTATTTTAACTTGGATACAAAACTGTATAGAAATATTCGTCACATATTACTGCAATATTTCGTTGAATTAAATTTCGACAGTCGTAGTAACAACTTGTCAGTAGCATAGTCGGAACCCGAAAAAGAAAAAGTTCTATTTACAGCACCGTACCTTATAGTAATATCTCGTATTATTAGCTATTGAATTTGAGTGTTTTGTCAAAAGTTAAAAAAAGTTTTTTGTTCTGCTAAAGTGGAATATTTTTTATCAGTATTAGATATATAAAACCAGATTTTTCTTTTCACTTCAAATGAGGTCTTTCGTATATATTCTTGTTTTTTCTAGAACAAAACAATATGTTGATCATGTTTTTCTCATTTTTATTGTAAAAATTTTCGTATATATTTATGTATATATACGTATGATATATATCTATATACATATTATGTATATAACGCTATTTGAGCAACAAATGATCAATGTAGGCAACATTGCAAAATAGTTTGGTAACCTTATAAATGGACGATACGGAGAATGTACTTGTACTCAAATTTCCACAAGAGATTATGAAATCGCGAAGGAACTCATAATAACTTTAGTGTTGTTAACCAGTTCAGAGGAGATAATACAAGGAGAAATAATGTGAACTCCTTAAAGATTGAATTAGAGCCCGAATGATTTTCAGATTCGTAATCAGCGCCATCAGGTTGACGAAATAGGGTATATTTCATTAAATGGTGGAACACCTAAGAAGGTTCCTTCGTCAGCTAAAAAAAGTTTAGTCAAAAATCTAAATTAGTAATCCTGATATTGCATCTTCGATCCTCAAACATTAATATTTCATAGCAAATTTTCATTAAATATAATTCTTATTAGATGATTGTAAGATATAAAGTACTTGGCATAAAGGACGGGAAACACTTTCTGGAAGAAAATGACCCAGTATGATTTTGAGTAAAATGATCGAAAACGCTTTTCTTTTCACTTTCCAGCATTTCTGATTTTCAAAACTTGCTCCTGGTAAAAAAAAAACATTCTCACCATTTTTCAACAACAGTTCAGCGAAGGGCATTCACTATGTTCCTCAAATTTTTCGTACGATTTCGAAGACCTTAATCTAAGCTCATACATAGAAATGATAGACAATTTCGCTTCAAAATGAGCTATAAACAAGTTTCCCAAAACTATGCCAGTATAAAACAACTATCGAAATACTAGACCGATAATAAATAAACTGATAGTTCCAGTGAGAAAGTGACCATGAATTAGTTGAGATACCTGCAAATTTTAGAAAAGACTTTGAATTGATAACCATAGATATTTTTTACTTGAGCTAAATAATTCATCAATGTACGAATGAATATGCAACAAACTTTATCACACAAAGACTGTCCTTGTACAGACAACAGAAGTCAGCTGTATACTACTCGCTATGAGTGGTATACACTTCAATCGTTGTATATGATATATGACAGTACGTCAAAGTTTACTTTTGCAGTTTTTTCTGCATAAATGAAATTTGTTCGGTTCTGTCTGTACAAGGATAGTTTTTGTGTGGTAAACTTTGCTGCATATTTACTCGTACATTGTTGATAACGTTAGCTATTAAACTTTTTTCACAGCGCCTCGGATGAAAAACTTGTTCTATGTAAGGTTAAAGAAATTCATAATTTCAGGGCTTATTGTTTTTTCGATTTTTACACATGGTACGATAGAGCTCGTCAAGCTGCATCCGCTTATAATATCATTTGTTTTGTATAATATGATGACATATTTTGAGTCAGAAATATAGAAATTTTCTCGATGGGTCATCTTCCCATACAAATTGGTGCTTTTCTGCTAAAACTGCGTTTTTTTACTATTAAGAAATTATTAAGGAACTTTTAGAAAGTAGAGGGATTCATAAAGTTTTGCACGAACTACATTCACTTCTGTTTAGTTTTCAAAGCTTTTCTTCTCACGCTGAAGTGACAAGAATAAAAAAGAAAAAGTACGTTACAAGATCTTTTTGATTGAAAGAATGTTGTGGTATGTCAAGACAATCCAATCTCAAATTGTTCCATTATATAAATTCTCTTTTCTCAGCGTCGCAAAACTGCAGTTTGAAAAGATGATTTCGATAAAATCCATAAAAGAAACAAATGTTCTCCCACGACCGCTTCTGATTCTGAAGAGTTATAAATATAGCCAGTTGATCGAACTTTTCTAGAGCTAGAAAACCTCTATCCTCTCTTCCATTCTAAATGACAGAATAGAAAAGACTAGAATTGAAAAACTGTCTTGTGGATCAATCTCCATAGCAATGGAGATTGACGCTTCACAGTATTTCATCTACTATTCTTTTACTTCTATGGTATGTAGAAATATATTCAATATGATTTCCGTAAACCGATGGATGGCTGATGAAGAATCAATGTCAAATAATGACATTTTGGTCAATCGTTATCGTCTAGAATTTATAAATACAGTAGATCAGCAATGGACTCCATGAAAAGAAAGAATAACAATAAGAGAATGCTCAAAACATGATAAAATCATTTAAAAAAATGCAAAATCAACGCTATATCAAAATAAGAATGGTGTGTATATTCGTTGATGCCAGAATTAACAATGTATACAGGTTTTGGGATACCCGGACTTGGAATTGTGCATTATCAACATCATTGTGCAGTTGATAAATTGAAGGTGAGGGTCATTGATCGCTCACTACTCAGACTTCTCTTCTCTACGGAGTTGTCCTCGATACTACAGGTAAAATGCTGTAGTAGAGCATAAGACACTCCATATGCAATGAGATCAATACCGGGAAGAATATTAAATCTCAAATACTGACCAACGAAAACGTTAAGATAGGATGAAGTAAAGAATTGCTGTAAAGATTTACAGCAGTTCTTTACCTCACCCTATCTTATCTTCTTCCTACTGCTTTACCTTTGGGTTTTACAATGAAGACGTGTCGCACCCTGATACTCGAAGCAGCGATGGTAAATAAAGAACTTCATAAAAATAACAAGATCATCGATGTTCCATGTCCAACAATATTTTTCACATACACCGATTTACATGGCAGAAACATTCGCTCCTTGAAAATGGACGTTTTAGTAATCAACTTCGGATCTCGGAAAACAATCGCAAGCGGTTCTCTGTCCCTCAGCACCTATTTAGATATACTGTCTTTTTAATAGCATTTGTCCTAAAACTTTCGTATCACTCCTAGAAACATCTCATAATTATTTTCAGATTCATCCTATACGTCTCTTCTTGAACTCTCTAATATTTTTTTTTCTACATATTCTGGACATCTTCGCCCTCGTTCTAATAGATTTTCAAAATTGTTCAGTTGTCCATTTTTGTACAACCTATAGTAGACCGTACCACTTCGAAGAATATATTCTTTCTTAAAATGCGCTTCATCCAATATACGCCATCGAAAATACAAATCCTCAACAATGCCAACAAAGTGATGTTGATTAATTGAGACCAGCTTAGGAATAAATTTCTAACCACCTGAGTGCATACAAATCAATTCAGTTCTGAAGCACATAATAAAAGAAATCAGCGTTGTGCCGAAGAAAATTGCCTATCTTTAGATTTTTCTCTAACGTTCCCGGTTTGTAGAGCACACTTCGAAGTATATGTTCGGAAGTTTTTTTGGCTTACTGACACTATTTGGCTGAGAAAAAAATTATCTACTTAAAAAAATATTGTTAAATTTTTGAACAAGGGATTATTATTAAGAACATTCCTGTCCATCCTCCATTCATCACAAAAGCTTGGTTCTTGTTACGACCCACCTCTCTCAGTGTGTCGTAAGAACATCTCTTTCCTTCCTTTCTTTCTTGTTTCGTAATTACGCAACAGTCCAATAGTGCACAACCTCTGCATATAATTCAACGTTGCGCAACTATTGTTTCATTCTTCCTCTTCCTCTCGTAGTGCATTTCCCAACTCATTGAAACTTCTATGTTGCGTATGTTACGCATTATCTACGCAATCCTCGAGCGCGTGTGAAGATTTTCCTCTCATTTGTATTCGTAGCGTTTAGTGTATTGTATTTTATTGTATTGTTCTATCTTTGGTGCGAATAAATATTCGGAGTAATAAATAGACTCATCACATTGGTGCACTAGCCGACTCGTCGTCAATCCAACATCACGTCCGACAAGACAAGAGAAGAAGAACAAAGGATTGCTCTTGATTTACGGTACGCAACACGGGCTGCAAAGAAGAACAAACAGAGGAGTGGTAAAGAAGACGACGACAAGAATCAGTTACGTATCTCAG